TTCAGCTGGATGCAGGGGTGGGGTGGGCACGTGGAGCAGCAGCAGTGAGCTTCCCCCACCACCATCCCTATGTCTGGCCACGCAGCTGGAAATTCCAGTTAATAGGGTGTCCCAGTTACTTACATGCTGGTTAACACAGCTTTTACTGCAGTTACAATAAAAAAAAAAAAAAAAAAAAGAACACTGTAATTATGTAGTATTTCACAAATACTCATCAATTAATCCTAAATGATGAATAGTCACTTCAACTATCTTACTCACTGGTTCTCAACCTTTTTAGACTCAAATCACCCCTGAATAATCTTGAGGCACCCCTGGAAAGACTCAAGAAACCCCCAAGAAAAATGCCAGCTCTTAGTTTTCACTCTTTTTTTACTACAGAAAAATAATAGAGCAGGTTTTCTGTTGCAAACAACTCAGAAAGACTACAACTATGGATTTCTATTTGAAATCTCTGGATTTATCTTGTGAATCTTGGTTGTAAACCTAACAGTGTACCCCACAGCACCCTCGAAAGGATCCTGTGGCACCCTAGTTGAGAATCACCAGTCTAACTGCTAAGCAGCAGTGTATACATAAACACTCCCGCTGCTTTCACAGTAAATTACTTCCTTGTTGGGTTAGAACAAAGAAACTGCAGTAAATGAATGCATAGTTATTAATTAACCCAGAGATCTTAATCATACAAAGCATTTCAAAGACAGAACAGAGTCTGCAATAGAACAGGAATATAATACTTTGTGACTTGCTAGGAGTCCCTTTGGATCACACACATCCGACTAAAGCTGTCTTGGGATTGTTTTGCATAACATTAGACATGCAAAGTGCGTTCTCTTTAGTTCCCTGGATGCATCAGCATCATTATGTTTTACTTTCTTCAAAATTTTCACAGCTCAACCTGCTATGCTCAGATTTCATGTGAGATAGCCTGACCGCACTACATCTATGTCTGAGAAATGTCAGGGTAAACTTTCACAAGGTTCCTTAAGGCACATCTATCCTTCTGTCACTGTTCTAACTTCTAACCTGTAGCTTGTGTAGAATGATGTAAGCTAGTACAAAATGGAATAGCTCAAGTACTGATAGCCACAGTGCTGTGCCATCATGGAGCTGTTTGGGCTGATGACCTGAGTGTTTATTCAGCCACTCAGGCTGGTGCCATAGCATTTGCTAAACTCTGTGCAGCTGTGGCTATACTTTATTGGTATCCCAAGTTAAAGATAGCTCAGGTTTCTCTACTCAAACTGAAGTTGGGCAGTGTAGACAAAGCCTAGGTCCCATTTTCAGAACTGCTTAAGGGTGTTTGTATATGCCACAGGGGTTTAATTTGGTTTAGTTTTCCCTAAATTGAAACAGTAGATTTTTAAAAACCTACCGTTTCCACCATTTCAGTTTAGGAAGAATTAAACTGAACTAAACCCCCGTGGCATGTACACAAGGGTGGAGGCCCAATCCTTACCTGCCTCTCTGGCAACGGCAGGGGGAGGGAGGAGGCAATGAGTTGCCAGCAGGCTGAGCGGTCCCTGTGCTGTGCGGGGGCCTGGTGCTTCCCTCTGTGGCGGAGGTGGGGGTGTGGGGCTTCTCTCTAAGGTTGTGGTGGCACCCCCCAGGCAGCACCTGCCCACTGGTACCTGGCCTGGGTGGTCGCAGGTGGCACCACAGCCACAGAGGGAAGCACCGGTACCCCTGCAGCCGTGGAGGGAAGAACCAGGCCCCTGTGCAGCTCAGGCAGGCTCCGGGAGAAAAAAGAAGTCATCAGGCTCCTCGTGCTTTTTTTTTTTTCTTCAGCTGAGCCTGCCTGCCTGCACAGGCTGCTGTGGCTGGGTGTGTTGATGGTGGGAGAAGGCAGCGGGGACTGTGCACGGGGCTCTGGAAGCCTGCCAAGCCCTGAGCACATTGGATTCCAGTGCCCCAGTAGCAAACTTAAACACCGCGGAAGTGTTTTATTTTGCTATGTTCCAAAATCATTTAAAATGGAATACACCGCTCAGCGTGCAAACAGCAATGCCATTAAGTGGTGCAAAAGGGCATTTAAGCTGCTTTAAAGGTCAATTTTGTGGCATGTACAAAGGCCCTAAGGCACTTAAAAAACCATCTAACTGAAGTCAAAGGGACTTGGCCCCAAGTCATTACTGCAGCCTGGACAGGTAACTCCATGTTACTCTTCCTGATGCTCTTTCAGCAAAAGTGATAGATTTTTTTGAGATTCAAATTTGATTCAAGTGTCTACCCAGCAGGAACAGCTTCTACAAGGTGCATATCATATCAAAGGCAGTGACTCAAAGTTGAAGAGATGACTACTGATGTGTTGAATTGGGACTGAAGTAAGCCTGGGCCCAAGCCAAAGCTCACATCCAAACACTCCAACTGTGCCTGGAGCTTCATCTAACTCTGCAGTTCAGGTATTTCCACAGAGATGGCAGTCTGGGGTTACTGAGATGAGGCTCTTTTCAAATCAATATGGGCTCATAGTTCAGTGCATATGGATAGTGTATTGAATAATGAGATGCTACCTGAAGACTGAGGGTGCAATAGTTTAAAATAACTTATCCATATCATTCTTTATCTACAACAGTGATGTTCAACCCCCAGCCCACAGGCCAGATCCAGCCTGCAGAGCTGTGTCATCCAGCCCATGGGGCTGAAATTTGGCAGTGGGGGATTGGTGGCAGCATTAATTGCTGCTGCTCTGCTGCCAGATTTCTGGCCCTGTAGGGTACCCTGCAGGTAACATAACTCTACACGCTAGTTTGGGTGGGCACTCGGTGAGGCCAGCACATGGCTCACAGACCGATCCTACACTGGCATGGCCAGAAGGTTGGGCACCACTACTCTAGAACATTTTTCATTACATTTCCATTAAAAACAGAAAGTCTGATTTTTTTGCCTATTATTCTGATGTTTGACTTTAATGATGTCAGTCTCAGGGATCTGACCACGGAGAATTAATGATGTCAAAATCAGGAATCTGACCAAAAGCCCTGCTGGGGTGCTACTCAGAACTACATGGCGATGAACAGAGCAGCATCAATTCTGTCAGGTACTTTGTGGTGGCTTTTTAATATTCAGGCCCACTGTACCTCTATTAATCTAATTACAAAAGTCTGCCCTCAAGATACGCAAGTGGTTTCAATGTACTGAACAGATTTCATATCCCTCTTGGAACATATTCTCTCCTTTTTCCCCATTCACTGGACACAGTGAGTATTATTATTCTAGACTGGCAAATCAGACGGCATATTTTTTCTTTTAGAAGAGAGATGCTTTACAGTATTGAAAATGAAAGGAGCTAAGGCCTTGACCCCACAAAAACACTTCAGTGTGTAACTGCCTCTCTGAGAAGGTTGTGAACCAAAGTAATTAACACTGCAGTTTGCCATTGCAAGTGCCTGTGAAATAGGTATCATCTAATATTTGTGTGGAGTAAAGTGAAAAGCCAAATTTCAGAACTGCTTTGATTTTGTTAGCTTGTGCAACAAACTTGATATTAATTAACAATGTCTCTTATCTACTGCAAGTAAAAATAAATGCTGAGAAGATATGCATGCTATTAAAGCAAATTCATGAAGGAAATGGTGCAGTTCTCAAAAGAAAACAAATCGGATTTTGAGTTATTTAACTGCATTGTGTATTTTGGGCATGAGTTACATTATAAGCACAGAAACTGAAGTTTCAAAGCTGTCAAAGATTTGGATATCCAATTCCAACCATGAGTAGTGAGAAGTGTGCACCCAAATACATGTGGTGGCTCTAAAAACCTCAGTCTGCAAGAAGAGACCTTCCACCCCAAAAAGGGCATTTAATTCCTCCCAAAAAGCTAGCAGGGTACCTGCAAAATCAGATTTTGCAGTGCATTGATTCAGAGAAGCCAAAATCATCCCAACTTACTTATGATTTTCCTGCTTGGCAAGTCATTATACACCTGTTCAGCATTGATCTGTAAAGCTCTGTAAAACTCTTGACAATGCTTGTCTCCTTTATTTTGCAAGTGCTTTATCAGGTCTGACAAACGAGTATGAAGTAATGTCTTTGGATTTCTGAACTGGAAGAGAAAAAGCACTTATTAAAGCCAAGATTACAATAGCAATAATGCAGCATTCTAGTAGTTACTACAAGACTTTTACAATATATAAGAGTGAAAGTATCTGTCAGTACTTGACCATTCTAGGAAACGAAAATAATCCAGACCTGAAATGTCAGCATCCACATTTTGAACCTGCTGATTCAAACTGAGTTCAAGTACATATAGTTCTGATATCTGATCAATAGAGTTCACACTGTAAGAAAAATAGCTGATGTTCAGCATTTCCCAAGAGTCTGTGATAGCAAGGAACTAATCTATTGTAAAGGACTAAATAGAAATATTTTTGGTGCCACTGGTCAATAAATATTTCTCAGAATAAGGACCAATATGTTAAGTAACAGCCAATTGCCCATCAAGAATGACTGGGGAGACAGGGGGACAGAGTCCCGCCACCCACCACCCCAAGCTACCGCCACCTCCCAGGAGCTGGGGGAGGTGGGGAGCTTGCCTCTGTCCCCTCTGCCCCCCTCTGCCAGCACCCCATGCCACCACTGCCTCCAGTGCTGCTGGCCTCACTCCCCCCGCTCTGGCCCTGCTCCGCTGCCTCTGAGAAGCAGGGCTGCTGGGGTGAGGCCAGCAGCACTGGTCTCACCCCCCTGCTCCATCATCTCAGTTCCTGCCATCACGGTGGCACTCCACCATGCTGCTGCTGCCTTTTGTCCATAACGCTCTTGGAGCACTCTTATTGGTTGTTTCAGTAACCAGAGTGCTCCAACAGTATTACGGACAGACAGACAGACAGGCTACGCCCTTTATTATATTAGAACTCTCACGTTTTTTACAATTTTGATGTGCTTAGTAGAAATTCACTTAAATTCGTTATTTATACTGCTGTTGTTTTCCTCAGAGACTTTTTGGTAGCTTGCTCTCTTAGGGCATGTCCCCATAAGTGGAAACATGCATTTTCCCAGGGACAAACAGCAGCAGCACAATATGTCCTACTGCTAATTGTCTCCAGGAAACTCCTGTGCACACACGCTCTGGTGTGCCACATGTTGCCCCACATGGGGTAGGCTGAGGCCAGCAGGAAAACAGCCTTACCTGGATCCTGGGGCGTTCTAGGGGCTGTAGCCACAGTGATCCTGCAACAGGGAGCCCAGTGCTACCACCATGTGCACCACCTCATTATTTTTAGGCAAGGGGTTTTTGACACTCGGATCTCCCAATGTCAAATCCCTCCCTGACCCCTGCAAATTAGCAGCACCTGTAATGCCTGCATATGTGGCATGCGCAATGTGTGGCACCACAGACAGGTCTGCAGTGCTGCATACTGCAAGTTCATGCTTATCTGGACATACCCTTTGGAGGTATGCTATCAAGATAAAAATATTTCTAGCAATTTGTCCCTGGCTCTGGTGAGAGATGCACAGGTGGACGCCTGTTGCACCCCCATTGAGCCCAGGGACCCCCAAGACCCCCCAGCAGAACCCCAACCCAGACCTCCACCACAGCTAGAGGTAGGTGGGGCCTGCAGCAGGGAGGGAGGGACCCCAACCCCAGACAGCTGCGAGGCAGCTGAGTCCGAGCCGGGGAGGGACACGCCCCCCCACCCCCAACTCCTACTTGGCTCAGCCCCCAGGGAGCAATGCAACTGGGCCCACCTGGCACATGAGCTAGAGGAAGGGGGAGCACTCACCTGTCCCCTTCTTCCGTAGGGCAGGGATCCCCAAGCCCCTAGAGCAGCACGGCCCTGTCAGCAAGCCCTTCTGTGCATGTGTACAGTTTAAAAAGGGCCCAGTGATGGCTTAGCCACAGTTTGTCCCCAGCTCCAGTCAGACGCACAGACCAGTGGGACCAGGTCACAAAATCCTTAGATGCAGGGGTAGCAGTGGATGTAGTCTATCTGGACTTTCAGAAGGCCTTCGACACTGTCTCTCACCCCATTCTCATTAAAAAAAATGGGGGACTGTGGTGTCAACACCCACACAATCAAATGGGTCGCTGTGGCAGGGTGCCCTTAGGGGTGCTGTGACCTCCCCTAGCGCCCCTACCTACCGTGCCAAATTGGGTCTTGACTACACCCTCTATCTCGCCCGCCATGTCTTGTTGGTAAATATGTAATGGGAGGCTGCCTTCCTGCTCTCCTTGGCACAGGTCCTGCCTTACTATACCTGGTCTCTATCTGACATGCTCGCTCCCCCCTTGGGTCTGCTCGGGCTGTTCGTCCACCCTGGAGCTTACTTCTCAAACAGCTCACCCGCTTCCGGGGCTTTTCCCTCACCGACAG